GGAGTGCAAAGGACTTGGGGTCTCTTTCTGAGTGGAAATAGCCTTGCTAAGAAAATGAGGTGGACATCTGGATTCCATAAATTTTAAAGGATTAAATGCAATGATTTAGCTTAATGACTGTCACAAATTATGAAAAGAGTGGTGGCTAGTGGGTACCAAATATCCAAAGACACCAGGGAATAATTTTTAAATTTTGTAGAGTGGAGTAGTAACATACTAGATATGCAGAATAAGTGATCTTGATCTTTGCAAGTGACTGATCTCTGAGTTTTAGGCCAGTCTGGTCTAGAGACCCAGTTTCAGGAGAGCCAAACTTAGGCAGTGAAGGACAGAAAGCCAGGAAAGATTTCAATTGAACAATTCATGTTCCAGCTCCAGCAAGCAGCAGATCTTGGCAGATTTGGCCATGTGGTTCTGGCTTTAGAGTTAAGGATAGAAGAAATGGCATGTGTCAGGATGTCCCTGAATGGAGGCCTAGGAGAGAGGCCATTGTGTGAAGCTTGGAAGTTGAAGCCTGGATTTACTTGGAGAACCTAATGTTAGAGATGCCAGTGTCATGGGATACCTGCAGAGGAGAGCTGCTGATGGAGAATGGAACCAGCTCAAGAGAGAGAGAAATGTGTTGCACTCAACAAAGTTGAACAGAGTTGGACATCTGAAGAACTTTCTAACATCAGACATTGAAATGCAGCATTTGGAGTTTGTCTGGCTGATTTTCAGTCTTGCTTTGATCCAGTTTTCCTCACTATGCTCCCTTCACAACATTTTGGAATGCTAATGTACATCCTGTGCTATTATATGTTGGATATATGTGATCTGGTTGTTTTATTTTGATTTTATAGGGGATTACATTTAAGAGACTTATGAATTTCAGAAAAGTCCTTGATCTTTGGACTTTAAAACATTGTTGAGATTGTGATAGACAATGGAGACTTTTGAAGTTGACTGTATTCATTTTTCATTATGATATTTTTACAAGTTTATGGGTACAGGGGTGTGGAATGTGCTAGTTTGAATGTAACTGACCCCCATAGTTTCATAGGGAGTGACTATTAGGAGGTATGGTTTAGTTGGAATGGACATGCCCTTTTTTGAGCAAATGTGTCACTGTGAGTGTGGCCTTTGAGGTTTCCCATGCTCAGGACACCACTGAGTGTCTCAGTCAACTTCCCACTGCCTGCAAGATATAGGAATCTCAGCTACTGCTCCAGCACCATGTCTGCCTGCATGCTGCCATGCTCCCCATCAGGATGATAATGGAGTGAACTTCTGAAAGTGTAAGTGAGCTCCATCAATTAAATGTTGTCCTTATAAGAGTCACTGTGGTCATGGTGTCCTTTTACAGCAGTGGAAACCCTAACTAAGGCAAATATGCATGAGGGTGAGGTCTAAAGTGCTATGGACATGCTAGGATGCTGGAGATGCAAGGAATGTGGGATGTATGTAAGCACTCTCACATTTGAAAAGTGGAATGAGCCTGAGAGAGGTCAGATGTACTGCAGGAGTTAAGGCTGAAAAGGGCCTCTCTATGTCCTTTGGCGTTCATTTCTTGTAATCATATTCCTCACTTTCTTGTGCTGGAGCTGCAAGCTTTGGTATTTTTCTCACTTGTATTTGGTCTCACTCTTTTTAAGATTTTTGTGTATCATTACCTACACTTTCCTTTTAGAATGCTGGTCTTTAATTTGTGACTTTGTATGTTTAAAGACTCGATATTCATTCTGATTTTGCAAAGGATTAAAGCTTTGAGACTCAGAGGAGTCTTTGGATTTCAGACTTTTGTATGTTGTTTGAATTGTGAATCATATGGGGACATTCCAAGTTGCACTAAATGCAGTTTACCTTATGAGAAATTCATGAGCCTTATGTATGAAATATTCTTATTTATTTGTGAAGTGTCTTTCAGAGAGCCATCCAATAAATTCCTTCCCCAAAAACAGAGGTGCATTTTTTTTAAAAGTTGTGGGATCTTTAAAAGTTAAGGAATGTCCTGTACAGTAGATCGCTAGAGCCACCCCTTTGAGGGATTATCCTCAATCTTTAGTTTCAGAAGTGCTCAGCTTATAGGTCAACCATAACCAGAACATCTGCCGCCTCACAGTTCAGCCACCTTCCACTGATTTCCTACACCATGCCTTCTTCATTCACATGGACTTAAACTATCTAAAGTGATGTGCCAAATCCATGCTTTGTTTCTCAAATGGTGTTTGTCACACGACTTAAAGAACTAATATAGTATCATGGATCAGACAATATTTCATAGTAAATTTCCTTTCTCCTCCTGTCCTTTTCACCAATGAAAGAATGAATTCTACTGAACAAATATTGTTCAAAATAAATTCCCATCAGTCCTTGGTTCTGAAGCTTAAAGTATCTTAAAAACAAATATTGACATATCACATATATTTTTTTCACATATAAGACTGTTTTTGAAACAGAAAATTCCTGCATTTATATTTATCTCAAACTATAAATAATGACATAGAAAAGTGTTCCAATGCAGCGGTTTAACTAAAGCAGTGCTTCAGTCTTGATGGACAGGGAAGGAGCTTGGCCCTGTCTCAGCTTGGCATATCATGCTTTGTTGACTCCCATGGGAGGCCTTATCCTTTCTGAGGAGTGGGTTGGGGAATAGAAATGAGGCTGGGGAGGGAATAGGATGAGAGAGGAAGGGGTGTGTGTGGGAACTGTGGTTGGTATGTAAAATAAACAAAAAATTTAATGAAAAAAAAGCAAAAAACAAAGTAACAAGAGAGGGACCAATATTTGCTCATTGCCTTGCATGGGACACTCAACAGTCAACAGAAAAGGCTTCAGTAGGTTTTATTTTACCCAGAATCACTGGAATATCAGTAAAAAGACATTACAAAAGCAATCAGGATAGCTACTATACATAAAAGGAAGAAGTGCCAGAAAGGGTGTGAGAAATTGTAACCTTTGTGCATTGCTGATAGGTATGGAGAGTGATGTAGGAGCTGGGGGATACAGTATGGCGCCTCCTCACAAACCTAAATGGGGAATTACCATATGATTTTTTTCATACACATTTATATTTACTTCACATCTATATTTATTCCCCAAAGAATTTCATGTCAGGCCTCAGATGCTCATGTACTTCTGAGAAAACACATCTCTGCATTGCTCATTATAATTGAAAGATACCAAGAAGAAATCCAGTCATGAGTAAAAGAATAAACAATGGATAAACTAAAAAAACTAAAATGGTGCTCATTTACATAAAGAAGGTATGGATGAACCATCAATGACCATCATCAAATAGTGTATAGCTGCATTAGTAACTAGAAGAGCTAAAGGGAAATATAGCAATCAAATGGACTCAAACAACTTTGAATGGGTAATTAAATTATTATTACTTAATTATTATTAATTATTCAATAACTTTGTACATTCAAAAATGATATCTTCTAAAAATATATCACAAAGCACATAAACATATATACATATAAACATATGTACATATATACATATGTACACATATACATATGTACACATATACATGAACTATTTACATCAAGGGAAGGAAGGTAAACATAAAATAAACATTGAAGATAGCATAACATATTAACATAATATAACATAGTCTAATAAAACAAGATAAACATATGGAAATAAAAACTGAAGATAATATAATAGTGTAATATAGTATAACATAATAAAACAAAATAAACAGGTGAAAATAACACTGAAGATTATGTAATATGAATTATGTGATATTATTCAAAAACATAAAATAAAAATGTGCTTTTTCTTGAAGCAATTATTGGAGAAGAGACAGATATTCTCCTGAGTTGTCTTATTGTAGATGGTCGGAGAAGTTGTCAGGCAATTGTGGTAGGCTTTTCCAAGTTCTAGGATGAGAATAATTCATTTTAAATGCACAGTGCTCTCTTCTGCTTTATAAACTATATGGTGAAAAGAGCTAGTTAGAGCATTCATAAAATGCATTTCTAGAACATGTGTGCCAATAGAGATGTTTTTGTAAAGTTCACCTTTCATCCATCATGAACATTCCATTGAATACTTCACTTTCATGACAGATCTATAGGCTCCATGACATTTGTGAACCTTAATGCTAACACCTAACTCTAACCTTAAATATACTCTAACTATATAACAGGAAGAATAATTGTAAAACTAAACCGAGCCTTAAACTCTAAATTGGATTCTAACTCTAGTATATAACAACAGTGAGGAAAACATGGAAGATGGTTAGGAATACCTTTTCTTCTTATAAATGAAACCTTTGTGTTAGAAATCAATGTATGTTCTTTTTTCATTTTCAACACCTTACTATTCCTTTTCTAAAGAATTTATTCTCTCCCCAAAAACCTGACACACTGCCCCATTTTTCTCCTTTATGTCCAGTATTTGAAACTGTTCATATTCTTTAGCTCCCAGCTTTCTCTCTTCAGCTTTATTTCGTAATATTCCTGAACCTTTGAAATGCAACCAAACATACACACACATTCTATATATCTATCCATCTGTCATCTAGTCATCTATCTATCTATCTTATCTATCTATCTATCTATCTATCTATCTATCTATCTATCTATCTATCTATCTACCTATCTTATCTGTCTATCCGTCATCTATCTGTCTATCCATCAGTCCGTCCATCCATCCATCCATCCATCTATCTATCTATCTATCTATCTATCTATCTATCTATCTATCTATCTATCTTACTATCTATATCTATATAATCTATCTAAATAACTGTATATATATGTATATATATATATATATATATATATATATATATATATATGCGATTGATGACAATCTTGTTTTAGCCAGTTATTGACTCATGAGACAATCATTCCATTGACAGTTAACTTTTTTATCCCACATGCTGCACTGAAATATTTATACTCCTGAGCTGGCAAACTGAGTATATATTTTAGATAAACATTCTTTCTAATACATTTTAAAACAAAATATAACTCTTACCATCACTTTTTTATGTTTTCTCTTCTATTTCTTGTAGTGGGAAGAAGAGCTCCGTTTTTTTGTGAAACATGCACAAAAGCATGCTCTTATAGCATCAATCTGAAAGAGATTATGTAAAATAAGGAGTTTTTAAACTGAAAATTAAAACAATGTCACCAAAGATTTGAACCATCCATTCAACTAAAAAGAGAAACTATGGCTGATTGCATATTTTACATACATTCACAATTTTAGAATAAGTTACAATAGTATGAGAATTAAGTACTAGGACTCCTTCAGAAAGGGAGGGACTCTGAGTTCTAGGCTTAGGCTACCTCTGATGTTCCAGAAACTCCAGGACCAGATGAAAGATTCTGACTTCCCTTTAGGGCCACATAAGATACTCATGAACTTTGTCCTGGGGTCTGATTTGCATGATCTACAACAACATAAGGCCCAGGTATTTTCCTGCAGAATCCCAGGCAGTATAACTTCCTACACCAAGTGAGGGACCCTGACTTCTAGAGGTTAGGCCCACTGATGAACTAGGCAAACTCCATGACCAGTTGAGAGGCTCTCACTGCTTTGAGTCAACCTATGTATTCTGCTCAGGACCATTCCCACAGGTGGCTAGGTTTCACCTGCCAGGCACCACCTGTATTGACACATGAACCCTGCTCTAGGCTTAAACAGAGCCTGACTCCCAGAAGAAGGATATCCTTCAAATCACAAACATATTTAAAAATCTCCTTTGCATGTAATTCTAAAATCTAAAAGAAATGGATGTATTTCAAGATTCATTGTATGTAATGAAATTAAGTCAGGAGGAAGGAGATGATTATATATATATATATATATATATATATATATATATATATATATATATATATATATTTGCACTATTGAGATTGAAGAAGGAACAAAATACTTTTCAACTAAAAGCTGACCAGGACCTGATGGATTATTTGCAGAATTTTACAGAATACCAAAAAAAAATGAATATCATTGCTACTCAGATCATTTCACGAAATAGTAAAACAAAGGATTTCTCCAAAATTTTTATGATGCCTGTAATACCTTGATACCCAAACTAGAGAAAGATTCATACAAAAAGAATTAAAACCACAGACTGATTTTCATGATGAGAACAGATACAAAACTTCTAAATGTGAGATTGACAAGCTGGGGTTTGAGAGATGCCGCAGCATTGACAAGCAATGCCTATTCTTCCAGACGACCCACTTTCAATTCTCAGCATCCACACCATATCTCACAGCTATCTGTAACTCCAGTTCCAGGGAATTGGATGCTCTTTTCTGGCCTCTGAGTATACCAAGCACACATATCATGCACAAGAATACATGTAGACAAATAACTATATAAAATTAAAAATGATATTGGCAAAAAGAATTTAAGACCATAACAAAAAGATTATCCATGATGGCCCCTTTGGTTTCATCCAAGAATGCAGGGTAAGAAAAATGTATGTAAATCAATAAATACAACAAATCAATTAAATGGAATAAAGAAATTCACATGATCATCCCAATATATGCATGAACGACCACTAACACAATTGAACATTTGGACCTTAATGATAAAAGTAAGGAGAGGCTAGGTATGGGTAGAGAATATGTCACAATTATACAAGCAATAAACAACAAGCCTACAATCTACATGTTCAAAAATGGAGAAAAATATGAATCTAACAATAATGATGAGAAAAAAAGCAATCATTGTTCACTGTCTCTATTCTTTTCAATAAAGAGCTGAAGTTCTAGAAAGACCCAATAAGGTAAGAAGGATATTAAAGCATACAAAGTATGAGAGAACTCAGAATGCCCCTACTTAAAGATGGTAGGATTTTATCAGCTCTAAAAGGGTTGAGGCTCTACAAAATGTCTTACAGCTGATAAACACTACAACAAATTAGCATTTCACACATTTAACACCAAAATCAGTGATGACAAACTGTATAAAAAATCAATGAAAGAATCCCACTCACCTGCCCTAGGATATAGAATCAACCTTGATAGCCATCAGCAGATGAATGGATAAGGAAAATGTGGTATATACACACAATGGAATATTCCTCAATGTAAAGAAAAATGAAATAGTAAAAATTCCAAGTAAATTAATAGAACTAGAAGAAGTTTTACTCAATGAGGACAGCTAGGATTAAAAAAGCAAATGTGATATGCTGTCCTCATGTGTAGATATCAGATTTTGTATGTTCAAATAGGATTACACGAGGATACTGAGAAATTAGACATTGTCTATTGTAGATGAACCCATTGAAAGGGAGATATTAAAATATATGTAAAATTAAATCAGAGAAGGAGAATACTGGATGTTGACAGTTTCAATCATGGAAGGATTGGAGGATAAAGGACAGAATGATGAGTGCCAATTAAAAATGAAGGTCTATGAAAAAAGCCTTATAGGAACCAAGATCTTGCAAATTAAGTAAAATATAAATTAAGGGGAGGTAAAACACAGGTGACAAGAAATAACACTGGAGCAATAAGTGCTCTGGGCTAAGGTTTAAGTGGCAATGAAGGTAGAAGAATAAGCCAGAGCAGAAACTAAGGTGTAACTGAACATAAACTAAGGCTGTATGAAGGCTTGTGGAAGCAACTAGCTTGTCAAATAGTTTAAAAGACATACTAAAAAGAGTTTGTTCAGAGGTACCTGGAATGTGTTGACTTATCTCATAAGACATGAGATTTACATTCAAACTCCAAAACAAGGGAAAGGATACATCCTTTTGAGTTATCGGTCAAGCAGGCCACCATGTCACCCCAAATAACACAATCTATTTCTACAAATTCTGGTTATTTGTCATAACTAAATGGTAAGACTCTCTTGTTGAAGATACCACACAGTCTGGTTGCAGGGCATTTAGAACTCAATCCCTAGCAGACAAGGAATTTCTGCCTTTCATCATAATAGAAGTTGGAGTTCCAGTCACTGGTCATGAAATACATCAAGAGTATATCCAGTCTTGCACCTTTCCTATGACAACAGTGACCAGCCAGGCAAGCTGTCCACAATGGTTGGGTGGTAGTTATGTAAACAACCAACCTTGTTAGGAATGGATGGGAGACCAGCACCAAGCAATGGATTAAATGTCTGATGCTGTAAACCTTGTCAAATGCTTATGTCTGGAATAGTCATAAGCTAGTCCAGGAGAATCAACAAGTGCTATTATTATTTACATTTACACTCATAGGTTTGTTCTGCTCTCATTGTTCATACGATTTTTTTTTCCAGAGGGCAATGGTTAATGTAGAGACTCATAACTAGTTAACATGATAAGGATAAGCCAGTGTGAAGGTTCATCTGCAGATGGGTCATTTGCATTGACCTTCCACTACTGAAAGCTCAAGAAACAATGAGGAAGAATGGTTTGAAAACAATGTAAGAGTTTGAATCTGGAGAGAAGTACACTGAAATGTTCTTTGGGGGACATGGCATAACGGATGCACAGATCAACTCAGAACAGCTGTGTCTTACACTAGACTTGCACAAGCTCAAGCCAGTCAAGATGCCAGCATGAATGAGGAAACACCTCTCAAGGCCCCAGCACTGGATGAGGGGCAATTGGCCATGGCTGGTTGTGAAAGGAGGAGATTAATTTATCTGTGGGCTGTGGCTTAGGGCAGATTTCTCATGTCCCAGGAGGTGTCTTCACACACATTCACAGATGGTCAGCCCTACTTGGACTCAGTGGGCTATTAATAGTAATTTTAAGAGCCGGGCAGTGGTGACACACACCTTTCATCCCAGCACTCAGGAGGCAGAGACAGGCAGATCTCTGTGATTTCGGGGCCAGCCTGGTCTACAGAGTGAGTTCCAGGAAAGGTGCAAAACTACACAGAAAACACTGTCTCAGAAAACAAAAACAAAAAAAAATAATTTTAAGAGACATTAAACAAAGAAGAAGAAGAAGAAGAAGGAGAAGAAGAAGAAGAATGAGTTCCACCTGTACAAGGTGGAGGGAGTCAGTGGTGAATGTAGTTTTCAAAGAAGAAATAAGAATATTTAAAAAAACATTTATGTTCTATGTATTAATTCTAGAACCCGTACTAAATTTAACCTTATTTGGCCTATGGAACATAACTGTGGAAACAGCATAAATGTGCAATATAAACTGAAGTATTTACTTACAAATGGCCACTTAGTTTTTCTAGCACGGTGCTGCCTCTCCTCTTCTGAGGCATGCTCTTGGTCTTCCATGACAGATGCTGTTAAGAAGTGCACATATTTCACTAAGAAAAGTACAATGAACATTTAGGGGAAAGCTGTCCATTGCTATAATGAAGACACATTAGGAATGAGAAAATATTTACTTTCCTTTTCCCAAGCAATAGTTTGAATTAAGTATAAACTGCAGTGGAAATATTAAACTTTTCTTCTCTATTTAATAAAGAATCTCTCTTAAAAACAGGTGTTTGGGTATGGTTTTTCTCTCAACAGAGGTTTAGGAAGCAGCTCCCAATGTATGGGAGTTTCCTCCACTTACATATTCAGATTGATCTCATATATTTCTGAAGATAAAGCAAATGAAATATGGACACCTGAGAGGTGGGAGCAAGGACTCCGTCTTTGACAAACAAAATCTTATCTGTTGCTCAGATTTGATAATGTGTGTGTTATTACCATTCTACTCATCCTTTTGCTTCCTATATGTGTAGTTGTCTGTCTATTACAGATAGTGTTCTGTTCTATACACAATCATTCTATAGAACAAGTATATTTTAAAATGTAGTACTTACTTCTCTCCTGATGCATTATTACATTTTTTTCTGCATCATTGTCCATATTGGATGAGTCAGGAGCTTTTGTGGAAGATTCCTGGGGTCCATTAGGGTCAGACACACTCTATCAAAAGGAGTATTGGTAACATATGTTAGAAAGGTCTTATTTGATTTCTAAGAACATAGTTGAATTCCTAATTTTGTGACAAGTGTTCTTGAAATTCTATGTAGTGTATATTGAAGACAAAGACATTTTAATAGCCAATCTATTGTGCACAGTAAAGTTTAAATCTATCCTTCATTTTTCATGGCACTTCACTATGTAAGAGGTATAAAGAAAAAAGGAAACACACTCAGAGGATTTGACCTGATGCACAATATTAACAAAACAAAAGCAACTACTTTTATATAAGAACTGTTAATACTATTTATATTCCCAAGTGAATTTGGAGGATGTTTATAAAATAAAGAATTGCCTACCCTATTATCAGGAAAATTTCTTTGGACAGTGTGGTACTTTGAATGCAAATGGGCCCCATAAGCTTATAGGAAGTGTCACTCTCAGAAGGTTTGGCCTTGTTGGTGGTGGCGTGACCTTGTTGGGGGAAGTTTGTCTCTGTGGGGGCCATTTGAGGTCTCCTGTGCTCAAGTTACACCCAGAGTAGACATAGGCTCTTTTACTGATTGCTGATCAGGATGAGAACTCTCAGCTCCTTATCCAGGACCATGTCTGCCTGCATGCTGCCATGTCCCACCATGATGAGGGTGGACAAAACCTGTGAAATAGGAATCCATCCCAATGAAATGTTTCCCTAATAGGAGTAGCCATGGTCATGGTATCTCTTCCCCGCAATAGAAACCATATCTAATACAAACAGTATTGATTTCTATTCTCCTATTTGTTTCCCTTTAATTTTGTTCTCCTGATTTATTGCTTCAGCTAACAGACTGAGCACAACATTGAAAAGGATTCAAGATGATAGACAAACCTGTCTCGTATCACCTCAATGCACTCATGTTTTCTTCCATTGAGAATGATGTTGGCTCTGAGTTTCTCCTTATATAATTGTTATTGTGTTGTGGTATTGTCCTTCTTGTCTTAAACTCTCTGGACTGTTATCATGATGGTATATTGTATTTTGTCAAGGGCCTTATCTACATGTATTGAGAAGATTAGGTGACTTTTTGTCTAAGTCTGTTTCTGTGCTTTGTTAAATCTATTGACTTGTGTATTTCAAACCATCTCTGCATCTCTGAGATAAAAACAACTTGTTCATGGTGGATCATTGTACCTAGAGTTTTCCTGCCTGGCCCACAGTCAGGACAAATCTCTCTCACCTGCCAGTCCTACAGATGCTAAGACCCAACCAATAAACACCGAGACTTATATTACTTACAAACTGTATGGCCATACCAGGCTTCTTGCTAACTGTCTTACAGCTTAAATTAATCCATTTCTATAAATCTATACCTTGCCATGTGGCTCGTGGCTTACTGGCATCTTCACATGCTGTTTGTCATCTTGGTGGCTGGCAGTGTCTTTGACTCAGCCTTCCACTTCCCAGCTTTATTCTCCTCCTTGTCCTGCCTATACTTCCTCCTGCCTCAGTATTGGCCAATCAGTGTTTTATTTACCAACCAATCAGAGCAACACATTTGCCATACAGAACATATCCCACAGCAGATCATCTTTTTGGTGTGTGTCTATTTTAGCTTTGAAAGTTCTTTTATTGAGTAATTTTGAATCTCTGTTCAAAGGCTCTTGAAAAGGCTGTTGGTTGCTCTCCTGATCTGTAATATCCAGGGCTTAATATCACAGCATATAGTAAATATTCACTACATGTGAATTGCAACTTTTTGGTTTTATTTTAAATTTATTTATTTATTTCACATCCCAACCACAGTTTTCCACCCCACCTCTACTTCCTGTGTCTCTCCCTACAGTGTCCCCCATGCACTACTCAGTTTCTATTCATAAAAAGGCAGGCTTCCCATGAATATCAACAAAACATGGCATAAAAAGTTCCAGTAAGACTAAGCACAAATTCTTGCTTTAAGGCTGGGCAAGGGACCCAAGTATGAAGAATAGATCTCTAAAGCCAGCAAAACATTTAGAGAAAACTTCTGCTTTCACTTTTAAGATTACTACAAGAAGGAAGATCTACCCAACTGCCACTTATATGCAGAGGGCCTGGGTCAGTCCATGAAGGCACTCTGGATGTCATTTCAGTCTCAATGAGCTCCTATGAGCCCAGGTTTTTATGTGATGTCCTTGACCCCTCTGACTCCTATAATCCTTCCTCCCATTCTTCAGAAGACTAGGCCTTAAATTTTGGCTGCAGGTGTCTGTATCTGTTTACTTCAGGTGTTGGGTGAAGCCTGTCTGATGACAATTGAGCTAGGGCAAAATCAAGTTTGTATTCTGGTTCTGGGTACCTCACTCAGGATGATTTTTTCCAGTTCCACACATTTGCCTCCAAATTTCTTTCCTTTTTCTTTCTTTGGTTTGATTTTGGTTTTTGTTTGTTTTCAATTCTTTTATTTATTTATTTGTTTGTTTTTTGTTTTACAGTCTAACCACAGTTTCTGCCCTCTCTTCACCTGCCTTTCAGTCCCTCACCTCCATTCACTTTCTGTTAACTCCCCCATCACCTCCTCCTCCCTTTTGTTTAAGAAAGGGCGAATTTTCCATGAGTATCAACAAAGCATTGCATATCAACATGGCATGCCAGTTTAATGATGTCAGTTTTTTAACAGATGAGTAATACTCCATTATGTAAATGTACCACATTTTCTATATCCTTTCTTGTGTTGTTGGACATCTAGCTTGTATTGAGGTCTGGTCTGTTATGAAAAAAGGAACTCTGATCACAGTTGTGTAAGAGTCCTTGTGGTATGATTAAGAGTGCCTTGGTATATATCCAAGATTGGTATAGCTGTGTCTGGAGGTAGATGGATTCTCAATTTTTTGAGAAATCTCCATAGTGATGTTCAAAGTGGTTGTACAAGTTTCCACTTCCACCACCAAGAGAGAAGTGTTCCTATTGCTTCACCACCTTTCCATCATGAGCTGTCACTTTGGTTTTAGGTCTTAGCCATCTTGATAGGTGTAAGATGGACTCTATTGTAACTGTTTCTTGGTCATTTGAGATTTTTCTATGGAGAATTCTCTGATTAGATCTGTATCCTGTTTTTAATCGAGTTATTTGGTTTTTTGATGTGTAATTTCCTGAGTGTTTGTTTATATATTTTGGAACTATTTTCTCTTTTAGAAGTGAGGTTGGTGAAGATCTTATCTCATTCTGTAGGCTGTCATTTTTTCCATTGATTGTGCCCTTTGCCTTAGAAAAGATTTTCAGTTTCTTGAGGCTCCATTTGTTAATTATTGACCTTTGTGTCTGCTCTACTGGTATTCTATTCAAAAAGTTGTCTCATGTGCCAGTGGATCAAGATTATTTCCCAATTTCTCTTTTATCAGGTACAGTGTATCAAGATTTATGTTGAGGTCTTTGATCCACCTGGACTTGAGTTTTGTGCAGGATGATACATAGGAATCTATTTGCATTCTTCTACATGTCAACATTCAGTTATAGCAGCACCATTTGTTGAAGATGTTTTCTTTTTTCCATTGTATTATTTTGGCTTCTTGTTGAAATTCAATATCCATACATTTATGGATATACAACTGAGTCTTTGATCCCATTCCAATCAAATACTGGAGCTAATAGACATTATGACTCATATGGACCCAACAGAGCTCCTGAGACCATTTCATCCAAACACAAATGAAGACATTTCTCAGCACCTCATGGAACACTCTCCAAATTGACAACATATTCAGTCACAAAGCAAGTTTTGTCAGACACAAATAAATTGAAACACACCCCCTGCATCCTATCAAACCGCATGGATTAAAGTTGAATTTCAACAACAACAGAAACAAGAGAAAGTCTAAAAATTCAGGGAGACAGAACAAATCTCTAGTGAATTACCACTGGGTCAAGGCAGAGATAAGAAAGAAATTAAAGACTTCCTCAAATTCAATAAAAGTGAATGCACAACATATTCATATGTATGGAACACATTGCAAGGGTTGTTAAAAGGAAAGTTCATAGCACCAACTGCCTTCATAATGAATTTTGAGAGATCTCATTTTAGAGACTTAAGAGAACACCTAAAAGCTCTGGAACAAGCACACCAAGAGGAGTAGACTGCAGGAAATAACTGAGGGCACAAACCAATAAAATAGGAAGAACTTATCTAATGAATTCAATTTAGAGGATAGCACTTTCACACCATCCATTACAGAAACAGACTCAAGGACAAATAGCACATGGTTATGTCATTAGATACAGAAAGGGTCTTTGACAATATTGATCATCACTTTATGATAAAAATCTCAGAGAGTCTAAGAATGAAAGGGATATATTTCTGCATAATAAAGCCAATAAAAAGCAAACACACAACTAACATATTGTTAACACTCAAATCATTCCTTCTAAAATCAGGAACCTGACAAGGATGACCATGCTTCCTCCTTCTGTTCAATATAGTACTAGAAGTCTTAACTAGAAGAGTAAGACAAGAGAAGATACAAGAAAGGAACCAAGAGGTGAAAATATTTTCATATGTAATAATATGATTCTATAAAAAATATATATTTTGCCCAGAAAACTCCAATGGCTGATAAATACATTTAGCAAAGTAACAGGTTTTAATCTGAGCCTCCAAATCAGTACCCTACCTGAAAATACTGCACATACTGAGAATAAAATCAAGAAAACCATGCTATTCCAAATAACCTCAAAGTGTAATGAATTAGGATAAATGTCACCAAAAAGTGGAACTTTTACAATGAAAGCAGTAAGAAAGTGAAAATAAGAAACTGAAGATGTTACTATAACTTGCAAAGACCTTCTGTGATCATTATTATAGGGTTAATATTGTGAAACTGGTCATCCTAATAAAAGCGATCTATGGACACCACATGATCCACATAAAATTTCCAGTTCAATGTTCATAGAAAATGAAAAAGAAATTTTAAATCCCAAATGGAAACACAAAAGACCAAGAATAGCTGAAACAATTTTGAACCATGAAACAAAAACAAAGCAAACTAAAAAGAACAA